AGCATTTTAATAAGGCACAGCTTTGTCCCGCCGTAGGTCAGATCCAGCCTAATGCCACTGCCACATAATGAGGTCACCATGTCAATAGCATATGAGATGCTACTATACTACACTAATTTCATAAAAACATATAGTGTGTGTGTGTGTGTGTGTGTGTGTGTGTGTGTGTGTGTGTGTGTGTGTGTGTGTGTGTGTGTGTGTGTGTGTGTGTGTGTGTGTGTGTGTGTATGGCATGCATGTGTGTGTGTGTGGAGGGCGGCATAGCAGAACGACCAACTGACCAGTTTCTATCATATATTGGCCTCGCCATAAATATTCACACTCTCTCTCCATGCTCATCACTGTAAAGGGCAAAGTACATATTGGTGGTGAATTATATATCCATTGAAAAGGTCATCTACCTCAACACCAATCTTTTGATGAGTTATGGGACAAGATGAGTGAAGAGGATTCCTTGCATTGAGTGATTTATTTTGTCATTGTTCATCAGATACACCTTTCGTTTTGATTTCACTAACGGCTGGGATCACGATTTTGATTTGTTTCATTATGTTAGTTTTCCCATCTCGTAAACTCCTCGCTTCACCAGAGGACAAAAATGCTCTCATGTTGCTTTTTCTGTCCTCCTCCCCCTCTGTCTACTCTCCTGTGAATATTCATCCATCTCTCTGTGACTTTGTCTCTGTCTGTCTGCAGGGACAAGTCAGCCCACTTGTCTGTGTCCTGCCTGTCCCTGCAGTGATCTCTCCTCAGGATGTGTCTTATAATCAGCCCCCTTTGGCAAGACATTGATCAACACCACACATATCGGTCTGACAATTGTTACACACACACACATACACACATCCATGAATGCTGCAAAACACATTGTCAAAAGGCATTGCTAATAGGAAAAGTTAAAAACGTTGGCAAATAGATAGAATCGGAGGATGACCCTTCTTTAATGGTCACACATACTTGCACACAGCACACACAGTGAAATGTGGTCTCTGCTTATGACCCATTCTATTACTAGGAGCAGTGGGAAGCTATTGTACAGCGCACCAGTCCACACTCCATATTTTAAGTCTGTTCGGGGACTTGAACCAGCGACCCTACGGTTCAGTCCAAGCCCCTACTGACTGAGCCACTGCCGGACACATTTTATTTTTTCTATAAGTCTATATGGTAAATAAGTGGAGCCAATGTTTGCTAAACTGAAATTAGCATAACAGTTTGGCACAAGTCTTCCCCATACACGGCAGGCCTTTACACTCTTTTTGAAGATATAGGCCGGGTCGTAGGGTTGTGTATTGGCAAGAATCTGATTCATTTGTATAATGATACAGGGGTTATGATTCAATGTATTGCAGTATATTGTGATAGCTTTGAGTAATACTTTGTTATGCAATCAAAACAGTGGGATCTGTATGTATCACAGTCCTTATAACATCAAACACCATAGCACTACTTTTGGTGTAATCTGAGCAACATTTGCCTGTATCAGTATAACAAATGGGGGTTGCTTGCTGGATTATTTAGTTTAATAAATTAAAGGTTCTTTGTGTAACTTGCAGAAAATTACCGTTTTTAAATGACACCTGTGGCCGTGAGGTGAACAGCAGTCATCATTCTGTTGCAACACTCACACCTTATTGTGGTTTACACTGGCTGCTGTTAGCTGACTTGCTTGCTTACACAGATTTCTAGCGTGCTAATGTTAGCAAAATACTTTCTTGAGTGAAGAACGTAAACTAATTCATCCAGAGTCGATGAGTTGATCTTGCTGATAATTGTTAAGTTTGTCTTCAAATAACTATCAGCTCAGCGTTACGAAGCAACCAATGCCTAAACCATGGAGCATAGTTACAGCTAGCTGGCTGGAGTTGGAGCTTCTCCTCTAACTTTTGGCATAAAGTAAAAAAGTGTATTTCCCAAAATGTAAAACTACTCCTTTAATGCATTTTCTCTCTCAAAATCTTCATGAACAAAATCTTCATCCGGATAAATTCATAGTAGTAACGTTTTCACAAGTTTCTAAAATGCCAAACTTTTTCAGTGTGATTCTCAAGGTGTTTCTTTGTGACCTAGCAGGTTTTACTCCGCTGTGAGAGCTCTTTTTCATTCCCAGAAAGAAAAAAAACATGAGGTGCAATGAAACTGAGAGGGCAAGATCAGCACTGAGTTGGGTTCAATAATTTAGTTGATGGAAAAGATAATTAATGGGGGAAGGAGTCAATAGCCAGTGTGGACATTAAAAGTGTATGCGTGCGTGCGTGCGTGTGTGTGTGTGTGTGTGTGTGTGTGTGTGTGTGTGTGTGTGTGTGTGTGTGTGTGTGTGTGTGTGTGTGTGTGTGTGTGTATGAAAGGAGGGGCCCAGGTGGAGGGGAGAAGATCTCATCTAAAAGCTATGAAAGATTTAACAGCGAGAGAAGACAGGAATGACAATGTCTGTGAAGGCATGCAACAAACCAAGTCCCCCAATTATATCTGGCATTTGACTGTCTGTCCTCTTTACTCTGCACTTTATGCACACCCTATACAATGAAAGAGGTTAATACTGTTTTTATGGACTTGATCCGTCACAAAACGATCTAGGATGTGTGTATTTGTAAAGTCTATAAAACCAAAGCAGTAAAGACCATCTTGTGAAGGGATTACACTGGCTAGGCCAGGGGTGTAAAGGTTTGGGGTGCCAATGGCCCTTTTACCCCCTTACTATCTACCTACCCCCTACTTCAGGCTTTCTTTCTCAGACACCTCCTATGGGCAATCGCAATCTTTTTTTTTCTCAATTACACACATTTGGCACAGCTGTGACAAATTGGAGTGACAAATCTGGATGACAGAGGTAAAAAAATACCAATGGTCCCTTTACCCCCCCCCCCCCCCCCCCCACTGTCTGGGCTGTTCAACGTTTAAATATTATACTGAGCATCATATTGCTTTGATCTTATTTGTTAGTTCATTTGAGCTATTGTAAAACATTTTAGTTGAATTTGGTGTAAGTGAGACCACAGGTTAACAAACAAGTGCTAGTTTTTATCCTACCAATGTAAAGCATTGTGAACATGCTCCCGGTGTGGAGGGTTAATGGAAGACAAACAAAGTGTCCTTTCAATCTTTTAATGTAAAGAAAAAAATCCTGGATGAGTCACAAAAACATTTCTCTGCACTCATTTTGACCACATTTGACTGTTAAACCAGGATGGTCTTGGGGGTCTGCAGACAGTAAACATGGCTGATATTGGGTAACACTGGGTTTTTGCACACATGTAATGACGTTTCACTGAAAACTGCTGAGCTGTCCCCTGTTGAATGCTTACTGGCCCTCTCACTGAATCTTAATGTTTTAAGAATTAGAGCAATGAACAGCAGCCCAGCAGGATGAAGGTCTGCTCACAAGCAAATTGCTGTCTGATCATGTACCGTGTAAATGATGTTCAGAGAAAACACTGTTAGCCATCAAACACTCAGCCTACGTTGACTTGTACCAATGCAGAGCATTCCTCTGTGGTAATTCCCAGGACGTCACTCTACTGTTCTGCAGCACACATGTCAGATTCAGGGCTCCTCCACAAAGTCAGGGCTTAGTACTTCAAGCTTGTCACGGATCTCCAGATGGAAGCATTCAAGGCTTTTTTCCAAGCATTTGTACTTGTTTATTTATTAGTGCTAAAGTCATAGTTCCTCAGAGGACAGTAGCCAGCTGTTGCATTTTGGCTTTGTTCCACCGAGACCTGGAGGATTGTTATCCTCTGATCGCTTGGCTGTCACTCTCTCTTTGTCTCTCTCCCTTTGTGTGCAAGTTGTACAATTAATTACAGTTTTCGTTTTCAGTGTAAAGCTGTTCTTAGTCCCTTCTACTTTCATCCTGCCCTCATTTATGCTTTGTCCTGGTAGTAAATCAACGACTTTGAAGAAAGCTGAGAGGGTTGATCATTATTCTTCATATAAGAGATTGGAAACAGCATGAGTGATTTCCCCTAGTTTATTTTTGAAGTAACCTTCCTTTGGATACTTGTGTTGATTATTTGGTTTGTTTTGTGGAAACTTTGCTTTAGACATTACTTCTTCAACACTTTATCACGATGCTCTTGAAACTCAATTGTTTAGAAACAACTTCAACAAATTCAGAGAATCTGTTTGGAAGCTGGAAGAAAATGCAGCAGCAGTAGTTTCAACAAATGCCCTTAAGCGATGTGTTTTCTGTATGTTTAGGTGACAAAGCCCTCAAGGGTCTGTAGGAGATATCTTGCCAGTCAGAAGAAAAGGAGAAAGTTGTTTAACAATGTTTCCGAGCCCCAAAGTCTGCAGACAGAGAGGTCCATGTAGAAAGAGAGGTCCACATACTTGGACATGAGACTGCTGCGTTCTTCCTCTAATATATTCATAGTAAAAGTTGGTTTAATGTTGCCTATTCTTAGACATGTTTTATTGTTACCATGCCAAACATGGTACCCTGACATTAACAAATTACTATTTTAACCCAAAGTAGTATTTTTCTCCAGCTTTAAACTTAACTTAAAGTTGTTTTTGTGTCTAATTACCAAATCTTGTAAGTAGAATTACTTTTTCCAAAAAAATGTTATGAAGACTCGTACAAAAGCAATCATCACTAATGATACACTATTGTGGTTGTTGTAGCTGGAGAGACTCTGCCCTCTTCATGGATATTTTTATTTTGTAAGAATATCCATATCCATATCCAGTCAGCTTTTACAAATCTTAGCAATAACAACTTGTTTTTTCGCCTTTACATTACCAAACCTTAGTGGTGTCAGATTAGAACATTGTCAGCTCAGAAAATATGTATCCATGCCGGATTAAGTGTTCCTGTTATTGTGTCCAATGCTGCTGGCTGCACAGAGTGACACTGAATCAAACTCTGTAGTTTGACTGTGCAAAGGATTTCCCCCTATTTTGGTTGATTAGTATCTGCAGAATCTGCAGTTTGTTTGAACATGTGGAGCTTTCAGATCACAGTAGCACTTCATAAACACAAACACAGACACGCTCACCTGCCCGTTCTTCTTCAGGTCGGCCCACATGCTCGTCCCGTCCCCTCCTCTCATCAGGACGTGGTAGGTGAAGTAGTAGATGCCAGGCAGGGGGCAGGTGAACTTGCCGGTGCTCGGCTCGTAGTAGTTCCCGACGTTGGTCACCACGTCATCAAACTTCAGTATTTCACTCCCTTCGTGTGGTTTTCTGAGGCCTGCGTAAAAGGCGATTTTGGGACTGTAGAAGGATTGCCCGTAGCCCCCGGGTCCAGGCCCCGGTGGACCAGGTGGGCCGGGCTTGCCAGGCTCTCCAGGGGGCCCTTTAGGACCCGGAGGACCAGGAAGTCCAGGGGTCCCTCTGAACCCCTGTTTGCCCTTGCGGTTTGCGAAGTCTGGGGGCTGAGGGGAGACGGCTGTCAGCTCTCCCTGTGGGGGGGTGAAAGTGTCACACACCATCTTGCAGCTCCCAAGCATCTCGTAATGCGTGCCCCCTCCTCCGGACCCTCCCCCCTTGGTGGTGTGCACCAATAGGGGAATGGCCACCAGCAGGACGAGGACCATCGCCACGCCGACTCCAGCCCCAATCACACGTTTCTTGCGGCTGAGCCGGGAGGCGGCCAGCGTGAGGAAATCCTCCTCCCCCTTCGCTGGAATCGTTGTGCCGGCCAGACTGAAAGCTAAAGAAACTAGGCCTACTGGATCGATAAAGTGGAGGAGGAATTGTGGGCCAAAGAAAGACAATGGGGGGTGACTCTATGAACAGGACAGGCAAGTCTCAGACAGGAGAAAATCAGAAGTCTGGGGAAAGGGACAAATAGGTTTTTCCATTTCTTGGTTTTCAGTAAATGTGTTTTGTATCCTTTTAGTTTCCTCTGGTTTGCAGTGTCAAAGGGTTAAAGATAGTGCATCATTTTGCAAGACAAAAATAATTTGAATATTTTAACAAAAACTGAGCATCACCGTTGGATTTTAGGCGAATGCTTTTCTTTTTCCAGCTCTGTGGACGTGGTGGCTCCAGTGAAAGCTTCCGTTTCTTAGGCAGCGAGATGTCAGGTGGGGTCTACAGTATTCCCACTGGAGTTCATCTCACCCTCCACATATAGGGATGGGCGCTTTACTTGTCTGTCCAGGAATGGAAAGAGAAGAAAGAGGAAATAGCTAAATCTCTGCTACTTTTCTACCCTATTCTGTTTTTGTTAATTGGCCTTCACACCTCTTCTCTCTATACATACATTGTTGTTGTAGGAACCTGGGTTAGATTTTTCTCAGCAGTCTATTCTTCCATTCAAAGTGCAGATTTGCTACAGGTCATAAAGAGGAAAATTGTGAGGACAGAGCAGGCCAAAATGCATTGAATGTGGAAACTTGTTTTAAAGGCAGCTTGGATGACGCTGAGTACATTTTCACTGAATCTAGAAAGAAAAGAACAAGCAAACACAAACATATAATTATAAAATAACTAACAAAACCAAATACATTTGCTCTTATATATTAACTTTTATCTGAAAATGTATGAATATATGTATCAAACTAATTCATTCATTTTTGTATCTACATTTTCAATTTGTAATAAGCCATTTAAAATAATAATGGCAATAATAAATGCAAGATACAGATACATTATTCAATGTGCCATACTCATTTTATTCAATGTCATTACTGATTTTTTTTTTTTAAACCTATTTTAATTAATAAAACAAACTGAGATAGCTTCATGTTATTACAGGCCTGCATGTATTATACTCTACAAACTCGACGTTTAACAGCAAACATATATTCCTAATACTTATATACTTATCCCCATTTTGTTCACATTATCACTAGATTTTAAACACTCACAGGAAATAAGGATTTCAGCAGCCAACTTTTAAGAAACTCATATCGGCTTACCTAGTTTCTTCTTCTTCTATCCTTCCCGGTTCTTAGCGTTTTTAATGCCGCGGGTTTAGATGGAAACGCCGCAGGAAAACTGCTCCAGGAACGGAATGAAAATCCCCTCCAACCCTGAGCGCTTTCACCGTCGCATCGGGTGAAGTTTCGTTACGGAGCAAAGTCACAAATCTCACTAAAATACTAACAATTGAACTTGATCCAGGACTCCTGCATGGTGGCCGGACGGCACCGTCCAAAGATACTGACAGCAGCTCCGAAAAGACAAGGAGAGAATAAAAAATGAAATAGAAAGAGATATGATAAAATAATTAAAAGTCGCGTCGCACTCCTTCAAATAAAATCACAAATTCTCACGAGTTACTTTGAGAGACTTTCGCCCTGCGGAAATCCCGCTGCAGAGCGACTTTATTTGTAGAGCAACAGTTCACTCACTTGTTGTATTTTCCGTCCTGCGTCTCTCTCCTCAGCATCTGCCTACTACTGCTCCCCTCCCTCCCTCCGTAACACACACACACACACACACACACACACACACACACACACACACACACACACACACACACACACACACACACACACACACACACACACACACACACACACACACACACACACACACACACCACCCTCCTATCCTGCATGTGACCTTTTCACAAATTAAAATGACTACATCTGTTTAATAGTTTAATCAAAGTTTGTCGTTTTCACTTAAAATATGTATTTGCACCACAGTTAGATATCAAACAAAAAACTGATATGACGATAATATTTATAATTGACTGTGTGTGTTTGACATAACACCTGCAAACTGTAATAGCAATTAATGTTTTTTATTGTGTCAAATCTCTATAGTTTACTTCTAAAATGTAAGTTGGGATTGCCTTAGCATTTCTTCATGAGGCTTAATGAGAACACCTTGTAGAAATGTATTTTAGTCTTGCTTGGCCATTAAAGGTTTTCAAGTAGATGTAGCTTCTTGTGGTGCTTTTAGGCTGAACAGCAGGTGTGAAGAGACGTGTAGTAAAACGATGTGGGCTGCAGATGTGAGACTGACGCGCATCACGCAGGATGTTGAAGTGAAAAGGATAAGGTGAAAGGAGGAGAGGGGTGTTATCAGGGTTGTTGTCAATGTCTGTGTTTCTGTAGCTTTCAGACCTCGTTAGAGATGAGAGATGTATCGCTACTGACAGGCCCCTCCCCTCCATATCCTTCTGGTCTCTTTCTTATCTTTTCTCTCAGACTTTATAGCATTTACAAATGAAGTAATCCTCAAACAATGCTGTGTTTTTCTTATGTAATTATTTCTAGGAGTGCTTATGCCTGAAAGAGCAGAGCTTTCTTTCAGGGTTAGGGTAAGGACTGTATCAGTAACACACACCTGACATCCAACACATATGTAGTTTGAAATGCAATTTAATTTGTTTAAATTTGATCAAGAAATATATGTCAGGCACGGTCAGCAAAGCATTTAGGCAGCCCCCGGTCCTCTAAGGCACAAGTGTAGTTGTATGAACTGTCAGTTCTGCTTCTCATTTATTCATCTCCCAACTTCAGGAGAGTGTAGCAAATATTGAATATGGATCAATAGATCACTCCCCAGAATGCATACTGTCAGCCGACTGAGCCCTGAGGCAGAAGCCAAGCCTCTGGTCACATTTGCATTTGGAGATAGAATATAACTACTGCTTGTCAGAAAGTGGAAAACTGTGTGGTCTCTGCATTTTTACAAAATTGGCAAAACAGGTAAAGAGGTTAAAGTCTACATGTGTGAGTATATGCTTTTAACAGTATAGGCTACTCTCTGCTTTTATCCACTGCATTCTTGGCCGTGCTTCTTTATGCACCCTTTATGGCATGTGTGTGAGATGCTATATGCATACATATGTGCACACACACATGTAATTTACATTTGAGCTCTGACACACTGGTGACATACTCAGAGGCCCCCTGCATTTAAATGATTATTGCCAAGAAGGGAGGACAATTTAGAGAGAATTAGGTTTTTAGAGCCCTATGAAATATTAACTAAGCCAATGAATATATCAGCTGTGAAGCGATAATGTCTGTTTCCTCTTGATATATGATATCATGTTCTTGTCTGTACTATCCTGTGTCCTATGTTTAAGTAAAGCTCAGGTTTACAGAAATAATCAGTTGGACATTTTCTTTTGATTTGAACAATTTCATTTGACAAAATATTAGCATGTTAAATCTTCTTCCTTGTCCCTTACACTGATTTCTCCTTTATGACCTTCATGTGTCTGAGCTGTGAACATTTGATTGATATACATGTAAGGGCTTCACAACAACAACAGATCTGAAAACCAGAGGGCTACAGGGTTAAGTGTGATGGGAAATGGCTGCTGTTGTTAACACAACGGTCCACTGACTCAACCCCATATATAAGCAAGAGCAGGAGAAAAACTGAGTCAAATGCTGTAGTACACGATAGCTGCTTATAACAGAAGGTTTTTCCCAGGTTAGTAAAACTCGGTATGTCTGAGTAATAAATTGTCATTAAAATCACAAGAGCAGCTTTAAAGTGAATCCAGTAAATTGTATTTATTGGCGTCAAGCCTTAAATCTCGACTTAAATGATAACTTTAGTATCCTTCAACGCAGAACTTCATCTGTGTTTTTGTGTCTAAATGACTCAGTTTTTGTTTGTGTTTGACAACATTTTGGAAACATAATACAATGCAAAAAATATGTACCTTTTGCCTGATGGGTCCTCTTATGATGATGCCTAACCAAGTGTCATTCTTAAATCTTTCAAATAGCATGTCTAAATATTCAACAATGACATTAAAAATCTTTTAGATAACATTAAACTGCTAACACAACAAACTCTCACAATTCCCACCGTTGTCTTCCAAGTCAAGTCGCATGACACAATAACAAATAGACAGGATCAAGGGAAAGGTTTTGCAGACTCCTTTCCATAATATTGTCAGAAACTTCAAATAATAATCTGAACTTGTCTGTGGCAAGAACAAGCACTTTAAGCACTTTGGATGCAAACTCACGGTGTGGAATTGGCCATTAGGATTACATAGTAGCTTGTTTGCGGCTGCAGCACTCAAGCCACAAATTAATGTGCCATGTAAAGCTAATAAAGTGGTGAAATTGGCACAAACTACATATATTGCACTGACTTCACATTAGTTAACAGTAACCGCACACCTAATCGATGGCAAATGGTAACTGCACTCGTTTTATTTAGGTGTGGTGAAAACAGAGGAAAGGCATTTTGCTGAAGCCCTACCAGTCTCTTGAAGTTGCACAAGAGTTAGAGATAGTGGATAGTCAGCAATGGGAACAGATAGTGCTTGCAGCATGATAGCAGAAGAGAGAATACAACAAATATATGTGCCGTGCAACGCACATTATACAGAGGGTTTTTCAATGCTTCAGCTTAATGTCGGAAAATTGTCGGAATTCATGCTGATAATTCAGAAATCATGTTATAATTAAGGCACAAATGAACATGATTACATTTTGTAAACGATTGACAGCATGTTTTTGGAATATAGAAATGTGTGTGTTTACATATATTCACGAAGCACTGATATAGGACTATACAAGGAACCCGAAACACACTTAAAGAAATCTAAGTATTGTTTAATTTGACTTGTTATTATGTATATATTTGTGCTGTTGTTCTTGTGAAGGTGTTTTTGGTGACATCACTTTTGGCAAGAAATTGAAGGGTTAGCTTTTTCAAAACCTTTTTAAATGTATGTATGTATGTATAAAACCTTGGTGGCATGATAACAGGTGGATGCATTGTTGTGATCATTGAACCACAATTATGCATTATCGTAAATGTAGTACATTCTTTAGGGTGAAATTATCTTCAGTTACATAACAGAATTCATGGAGCTGGTTGGAGTTGTATGACTTGCTGAATCTTTTCAACACGGCAGTTTGACCTCAGTTCTCTGCAGGCCAATAGACTACTCTGTTAGTGGATTTACGGTCATGAAAAACAGATGTTATGTATTGGAATGAGTCATTGCAGCTGATGCACTCTGGTTTTCCGGGCAGCGGCACAACGGTATAGATAAGACTGGACAGAGGTGATTCACCAGCAGGACACTGTTAAGAACAATCAGCAAAACCAATCAGGACATGAGCGGAGAGTCAGCATGTGATCCGAGGGGTTACCATGGTATTAACCAGCTAATTCAAGGTGGAGGTGCTATCTACACGGCAGGACACACATACAAGCCAAGCAAGTGGCTGTGGAAAGGGCTTAACCTGACCTGCAATCTCACAGGTCAGAGAGCGAGCGTGAAGTAGAGAGTGAGAGCCAGACAAGGACGCAGAACGGAGAGGCGGCGAGGGTAATGGAAATGTTGGGGTCACAGCATCACATGGTATACAGTAACATGGGATGGTT